TGCAAATAATTAACTGAACACATTACTTTAAATATCAAGAACTTTTATTTAACTTTTACACAATCTGTTATAATACAAAGCCAAAATACTTCATATTACCGCCACTTTTAAAAAAAAGTTTCTGTAGTCCGTAGTGTAGCGTTATCATTGATCGTTTAGCATACAATTCACCATTTGCTCTCCTTACCGCAGCGAAGATTGACCGGAGAAACACGTTGAGCTCCGTTGCTGTGAAATTTTCAATGCAAGTAGGCCTATAGGCCTAATTGATGATTCCTTGACCTTAAAATATTCACTAAGTTAGTAGGCCTACATTAACGTATGAATTCACAACAAATTTTGTACACCGAGAATCCTTTTCGTCAATAATTCTCTATCCAATTTGTCTTCATGGAGATTTAAACTTATCTGAAGTCGCCATTTTCGAAGCGCTAGGCTTACACATTGTGAGCGATCGATCGTGCGCTCGACTAGCATTCACTATGGGCGGAATGCGGGTGTAATCCGGTAACGTCAGAGACCGGTCACTTTTCAAAGTTATATTTTCCTAGGGGGAAATATAACGTTTCCGATCCTCATAGTGCTAGTCACTTAATGCCATTCCGACCAATCAAATACTCGTATTTACATAAGGCTATGTAATGTAATGATGTATGCTTCAATTACAGATCAGTGCAACACATGTTTATTTTTTATTTATTTTTTTTATATTTATTTATTTTTTCATTCATGTTTTCAGTAATCAAGGGATTCAATAATTCGTTTAATTGATAAAATTGAGAAAAAGTACTGATCTGTTCGTGTAAACAATGATACGTAGGGTCTGTGGATACACCGACTGGAGAGGATGTTTACATATGACGAAGGTCACATACTGATTTTAACAACCACTTTCTTCTTGTTGTTCTTCAGCAAGCAAGTGATCCTCCCATCATGCTCCACGCTGCTTCCACTGCTTCATTTTGTACTGCTTGATGTAGCAATTGAAGTCGCTTGGACGTGAGATTCTCTGTTATTGAGTACCCTGTATTTTTTAACAGCCTTTTATTTGGGAAAATTTCTGAATGGGTGCGATAAGGTACAAACTTAATGATGATTGGTCTTGCTTTGGCTTTCGATGGGTCAGAAAATAACGATATCGTTTTTCCTAGACGGTGGGTACGATCAAAATCAATAATTTCAACATTGACTGACATTTTAGACAATATGTTTAATGCTAGCATATCCGTGTCCTCATTTGACCTACTGGTTGACTCAGGCACTCCGTGCAATAGTAGACAGTTACGTCTACTATACTGCTCCAATTCATCCATTTTTTCTTCCAAGACGCTGTTTTCTGCTACCAGTGTTTCATTTCTTCCTATTAGCTTTGTAATATCGCCCGCTGTCGATTCCGTGTCCATGGAAACACCATTGTAAACAATGCTGCTAACTTCTTCTACTATGTTATTACTGATGGTAGAAATTAGCGTTTTACTACCGCAAACAGCTTTTATAATTTTATCAAATAAGATAGGTGTGGAAAGTAGAAAAAAAAAAAAAAAAAAGTAGTTACTAATTGTTGTTGCTACAATCGAAATCAATTGAGAGTCATCTGCCAATAGCTGTTGAAGGGGCCCTTCGAGATCAAACCCTTTCGATGGCGAGTCCGGCTGAGTTGAGTGGGTTAGTTCCGGGTCACTTATCGCTTCGGCGCCCAAACTAGGGCCTAGCTTTTCGTCAACATTATCATCCTTTAGTTTTTCTTTACATTGTTTACCTTTTGTTCTTGTTGTTGTCATATTATTTCCTGCTCTTTGTTCAGCGATATTGTAGTTGTAGATTAGTTACCAGATTTGTAGTTTGTGTGCAACTTCGACACTTTTGAGAGCTAGTGATCAGCAGTACATTCTACATACGTGGCTAATGAATTTGGCATTTTCCAATTGGAATTTCCAGCTGGGTTAATTAATATCCAATTGGAAAATCCCAATTGGATTTTGGCGCTCTCCACTTGGATTTTTTTCCGATTGAGCTAACAAAATCCAATTGGAATTTATCCAATTGGATATTGTCACTTTCCAATTTGAATTTATCCAATTGGATCCAATTGGGAAATTTACGAATGGATTTTGGCACTTTCCAATTAGATGCAGCATTATTATAAATTAACTAATTGTTGAAATCATAAGATTAACCGTGATTTTGGTAGTTCTAAAATTCATTTTTATATTCAGTTTTTTTATTATTTTCAATGTCTTCTTGTTGTAAATCTGATAACAATTGTTAAAATATTCTATTCATTTTTTGACATTATGTATTTTTTATTCAATTATTATTGTGCAATAACGTAACTTAATTAAATAATAATAATAATAGAACCAATAATTTTAACTTACCAATTACCAATAACGTAACTTAATTAAATAATAATAATAATAGAACCAATAATTTTAATATTAATGTTAATTGAATTGTATTTTTCCTATCTTAATTGTGTAATTTAAGCAATTTTAACTTATCTTATTTTTCTTAATAATATCTTCTCAATTTTAACTGATAGTAATGTTTTATTGGCCATTGTAATTTAAGTAATATATGTCCCTATCAATTTTTATATTTATTTTTTAATTGATTGTTTATCTTGTTTTAGTGTAGTTATAATGTGAAGCGCCTTTGAACATGATTACTTAATGGAAAGGGCGCTATAAAAATGTGGTAAATAAATAAATAAATATCCAATTGGATTTTATCTAATTGGTATTTAAAATCTTCCTATTTGATCCAATTGGGGTTTATCCAATTGGATCCAATTGGGAAATTCACGCTTGGATTTTGGCACTTTCCAATTGGACCCAATTGGATTTTATCGAATTGGTTTTTAAAATTTTCCTATTGGATCCAATTGGATAAACCCCAATTGTATCCAATTGGAAAGTGCCAAAATCCAATCATGAATTTTCCAATTGGTTCCAATTGAAATCCAATTGGAAAATTCAATTGGAACCAATTGGTCATTTTGGTAAGGACTTACTGTAGTCTAAATTTATTTACAGTATATTATTACTATTAAGTAATTAGTTTCTTACTCTCTTTTGTTTTGTGTTATTATGTATACTGAGGGTCCCTAATGATCAGCTTCAACTGGATACTGTAGACTACCCTCATTAAAGATTGTTGAAATAAAATAAAAATAAATAAAATAAAATAAACAAAATGACTTACCTCCAAATATAATGAAACGTTCCAACTGCAATGCTGATCCATTGTTTTTTTTCACAATTGCTTCACAAGAATATGTTCCTGCTTGATTGCTACCAGGTGACTGAATTGTGAGTTTGTTTCCTTGGATCACATAATTTCCCTTTGATTTTAGTGGTTGGTTGTTTTTGTACCAAGCTATTTCATATGGCAAATCTGTATTTATCACCTCACATTCCACATTGATATCCTTACCATCTGTGAATATCTGGTTCTCACTTGGGGTCATACGCAGGTAGGGGGCTAAAGAAAAAAAAAGAAAAAACATCTCTTTATTTTATTATTTATATAGCACTTTTCCTTTCAGATACAAGGAGCCTATTTCCAGGTCATTAAATCCACATGCTTTAATGTGCTGCTGTACACATTGAAGAAGCAGACAACCCCCACCAGGTACCCATTTATACTCCTTGGTAGAGAGAAGCAATGCAGAAGAAGTAGCCTACCATGCTCAAGAACAGCAAGGGATTGAAACACATTTGCGTTACCTGATGGCCATTAAAAAAATATACAGTAGAAAAATTGCTTGAAAGCCAAGCTCTAAAGAAAAAAAATTGAAATATTGTACAGTTAATGAAATACAGATTTTTTAATATAGTGTGGGTAAAATGGGCATAACCACATCTTTTTCTACCTTTCCCCCAGTTTTTAAATATTAATCTTGTATCTTATTAACCATTCCCAATTTTTTTGTCAAACACCTTTTTTTTGTGTCTTACAAAAATCAGTTGAACAACATATCTCGCTTTTTTTTTCCATCGGAGTTTGGCTTTAAAAATACAATGCCACAGACAATGTTAGTTGGGTAATTCCGTGTACCTGAGGTCCCCGCTCGACCATTTCAGATTTTGATGAAACTCCATAAAAATGATCCACTATGTGAAAAACCAACACACACAAAAAATTAGCATTATAGGTTTCGTAGTTTCCGAGATATTGACTTCTCAAAAAAGGGGCGTGGTTCTTTAAGATGCACGAATACAATTTCCTCAAACTTTGGAAGCTTATAACTTGGGATTGGTAATACCTATCAAGGTCAAACTTGGTATTCTAACTTATTTTCCACCATATTACCTGTTATGCCTTCTCTTTGAAGTTATCTGCACTCAAAATAGCCACTTGTTTAACAACGCAATTTTTTTGTGATTTTCGAGGTCACCCTGTGCCCATGTCTGTGAGTGTATACATCTTATACACATATATTATCTATGGGTAGTTGTCTCATAGCCACAAGCAAGCCCAGGCTGATCAAATTAATTAAAATGGAATGGCATCCATTCAAAGTTGGGACCAACCTTTAAAAAGTGAAAAAAACCTACGTTTCTCATTAATGGTTCGTCATGTGGACAGTTAAAACCTTTTCTTAAATTTACACCAGTTAATCAGATATAATACTTATACTTATAATAGTTTATAGTTGGGACAACTTGAAGGTAATAATGCCCAGTGGCAGATCCAAAATTGAGAGGTCCCAAAGAAGGTCTTTCACAAATCTAGTGGTCTGTACTGCCTCAGGCCCACCATGGTTGGGGGCTGAGGTAAGAAAATGGATGATTATGGCACCCAGGGCTTGAAATTAAGGGTTATTTGGTCGCATTTGCGACCTGATTTTTTAAGGTGCGACAAGTAATTCAACTTTGTCGCGCTCGGTGCGACAAGGTCGTTTGATAGCGAGAGCAGATTTTGTAAGCGGCAGGAAGGTGGTTTCCCTCCAAATCCCAATTATTTACAACTTGTACAGCCCATTATTTCAGTCAGGCAGTACGCAAAACATGTTATCATTCATTTTACATGTACTGCATCAACCAATCAGCATGACCTAGACTGTTAAAGTGTGATGTCGTACACTAAAACCGTGTCGATGTGCGCTCATCTTATTCTTGGTAAATAAGCGATCACCGTCTAAGCGAAGTCCAGTAGTGCTCTGAAATCCTTTTCCATCTACACGCGAGAGAACCGCGATTGAAACTCGAGTAACTCGCGGTTAATGAGCTATCATCGATTAGTAATACGATAACCTTTAAGAAAACGAGATTCGATACCCAGTCAGGCATTAAGGCATGATGTAAAACGTCTTTTTATTAATTGTGCGAACTACCATGATCCGTTTTTTAAGCGTTACAAAGTTCAAATAAAAGGTCGGGTATCAACATACTGTAGTTATGATGATATACCGTCGGCCTACTTAAACTACGCATTGGCCAAACAGGTTTGTATGTATAGGCCTAGTATTATGCTAGTATGGTACAGAACTGTATTTTTTTTTTGAATGACAAGAAAGAACACATTTAACATTATCAAACGGAAATGACACTTGACCAAATACTTTAATAACAACATAGGCAAAGAAACAAATAAAAAAAAAATGAAGAAGAAAACCTCTATGGAAGTGTACTGTAGGCCTACTGAAGTGAGTGTTTAGTAAATTCAATAGGGCTTATAAGATAACTTTTATTCCATTAAGGGAAACTTTGGAATATTAGCTGGTGAAATTTTTGTCTGTTAGCTCTTTTAAAATCAAACTTTCAAATTACTGTATTTCAATAAATAATTTTAAATAACTTCCATTGAATTGAACATGTTTGTAGTTGGTCGCTTTCTTACGGTTATTGGTAATTGTTCTGTTTATAATCTGTACTGTTATGAGCTGGCCAACTTGTATAAATGTCTATCACCTGTTTGGTTTTTCCTTGCCTTGTTTTTTTATTGTTTCGAAATATTTTTGTAATAATGTAAATGGTAGAAATTTGAATAAAAATAATATATAAAACTATAGGCTTTACATGAATGCAGTCATTATAGATATTCCTATAAAAAAGTATATATAGGATGGATATGCCTATCATTGTTTGTTATTAAATAAGGCACCAAGCGGTACGTACAACATCTGTAAGAAGCAATCAGATTTTGTTAGAACCACTAATGATCGCGGTATATTCTGAAGGCAATTCATATTACATAATCATTGACTTTAAATTAGGAGCGCATTATGCTAAAATGCAACTTGTACCGAAAGTACAACAGAAAATTTAGAAATTAGAAAATAATAATGTGTGTTATTAAAACTATTATATAACATTATCTTAAAATGTTTGTTAGTGCACAAAGTCCAGGTAAGCCGTAATAACCTAACAACTTGAATGATAGGCCCTATATTATTTATTGAGAAAATTGAATCCATATGTTCTAAACAGCTCGCTACGCTTCCCTGCACCAGAATGACCCATTTTCGTTACTGCCTTTCAATCGGCTTCAACCACGGTGGACAGCTGAGTTACCGTTAATTGCAAAGTTTTTCAGCATTCCACACTGCTTCGTTTCATTCTAAATCTATCGAGCGTCTCCTCGCTGAATATTGCCCTCGAATTTTCATCGCGTTTTAATCGTGTGTCAAACGCAGTTGATGGTAAAGGATTTCAGAGCACTACTGTAGACTGGTATAAAAACATCGGATTGCACGATTTTTTACTATTTTATTGAGTGCTACTCTTACCTGTACCTCCTCGTAATTGTGAACGTTTCCTTAACGTATTTGTTAATAAAATAGACTATGTACCGAAATTTCAAACGATCGTATTGACTCATACGATGTAAACGGCCCAGATCAAGCAATAATCAAAATTTAACTCTAAATAGATCGTAAATAAATACAATTAGGCATCATCTGGATGATTATATTCAAAGTGCTACCGGTATTAAGGCAGACATCTTTTATTGAAAAACCAATCGAATTACCTAAACCTCATACATTATGAAATAAGATTACGCTTCTTCAATCACATGGCTGATGATAACAAATAGTTTAAAATACTCTTTGATGATAACCTGAGAAGACTTCACGGAGCAGCTACAGTTTAACAACATGCATCTCAATGAGCAACATTTTGAAATTTACAGAAAAACAAACAAACAAATAGGTCTCACAGCAAATTTTGAAACCTAATTAAATGAAATAATATAGAAAGCAACTCCTTTACTACCATTTATTTACTGAACAAGCCAGTCGGCTTCTGACCTACTTTTGTTTGTATCGGCGGCGTACAAAGAGTCAAAAGACTTTGTGTCTGGCAGACCTCGGTGTCTGTGTCTACCAGGAGGAGCCTGGAATTGGGAATTTTCTCACTGAATGTAGTAGACGGTAAGCAGAGTTATTTCATAGGCAACTAGTAATGGGCCTCTATCAAACAATTTATTTCGTTCTTAACAAAGTATAAGCAGAAAGTAAGCAAAATGATTGTTTAATCGTGTTTTGAAATAATATAAAAATTGAATTGTATATAAATGAATATTTAAAGATTAAATTTTAAACGTGGAATTAATAAAGTGCAACAATTGAATTAATTGGTTAATTTAATCTATAAGATATATAAAAAATATATAATTCTACAAGGATATAAAAAATATATAATTCTACAAGGATATAAAAAATATATAATTCTACAAGGATTTCTTGTTTTGTCAACAACAACATCGAACCAAAGAGTATAAAACTGCAAGAGGTCCGACTGCCAGGGATTCTTTGGAACGGAATCCTATTTCAAAAAGTACTACCCAAAAGGGGCGTGGCCTTTAAAAAGAACGTAAAGTGCGTACATATCAAATGCGTGGTGTGCGTCTATAAAATGGCATACTGGAATTCGAAACGCAGCACGCGTTCGATACGAACCCCTTTTACGTTCTTATGAAGGACACGCCCCTTCATGGGAGTACTTTTTAACGTTCCATTGCCTGTATACAAAATAAGGACAGTCGGACCTCTGCTATCATTTTTTTCTTTTTCTCTTTTTTTTTCTTTTTTTTTTCTTTTTTTACCTCCCAAAAGGGGGGGCCGGGGCCGGGCCGGCCCCCCCCTAAATCCGCCCCTGTAAAGTGCGTACATATCAAATGCGTGGTATGCGTCTATAAAATGGCATACTGGAATTCGAAACGCAGCACGCGTTCGATACGAACCCCTTTTACGTTCTTATGAAGGACACGCCCCTTCATGGGAGTACTTTTTAACGTTCCATTGCCTGTATACAAAATAAGGACAGTCGGACCTCTTGCAGTTTTATACCCTTTGATCGAACTAATTGGTAGCGGGCCTTCCAATTACGAAAAGTCTATATTTCGCGGAGTAACATCCCAAACCACGTGTGCGCCCGACTACACTGGCTGGCAAGATTAAGGTATGTTGAGTCCATTGCAAGTTGTATACCAATCAGAATGCTGGGATATTACATCATTCGGGGCAACTTGCAATA